TCATCGACAAATACTTAGCAAGTAATCAAGTACTTGCATCAAGTACGTTCTCTAGGAAAGAGATCGAAATAAGACTACGTTCAATTTTACAAGATTACTTATAAATTGACTAGGATCATCTATTTTGAAAGAACAGTTTTCCGAAAATTTAAATTATTTTTCCGACGTAATAGAAGCCCTTGGACTTCTAATACACCTTCCACATCGATTCCTCCAGAGGGAGCTTCTAATACGGGGGGCTTCTAATATGGGGGAGGCTTCTATTATGGGGGGGGGGCAGGGGTTTAAATGATTACATCCAGCGTAATTTAACTTACCAGACAAATGAAAAATCATTGGCTCATGCGGTTTCCAAGATAGTGAAAAGAATTCCAGAAGAAGAGTTTAAAAAAACTTTGATAAATTGTTGGAAAGAATGGAACTTTGTATAAATAATTATGGCGACTATTTTGAACATTTAATAAAATAAAACTAGAACCTTCTCTTTATCCTGATATTTTTTTTAACGATGACAGAACTTTTGATAATTTGAGGTTTCGCCTAATTTCCGTTACTTCATCCTTTATGGTCTTGAGTTCAAGTGTTAGTACAGGGCTAAGTACTGGTCGGACCGTATATCTTCCTTTGTTGCTGTTGTTTTCGGGATAAATTGTAGTTGTTTTCTAAAATAAAACGCTCATGTAACTTGAAAACCTAGTTTTCGAAAATCATTTGACTTAAATCCGTTTTATGGAAAAAATAGTTACTGCAACACAAAGCATGGTTAAGAAAACGTACTTTTCCCGTCCAATTTCACCAACCCAGCGTTTCTTCAAAGAAAAAATGAAAGGCGTTTTCGAGATTTAAACGTTGATGGGCTAGGAGGGAGTCTTTTGCAAAAACGTAAAAAGAACAGCGTCAAAACGTCACATCTGGCTCACCAGAAAACTGTCACTTGCACAACGTCTCATTCAAGAGAGCCGATGAAACAGCATCGAATGATGTGTTTCACAGTTGTTTAGAACCAAGACTGAATTTTGACAAGGTAAATTCGGGTTTAGAAAAGCGAAAATTTTATTTTCTCAGCGGTGAAAGATGCAGGTCGTCTTGTCGAGGAGACAGTTCTCTACAACCAGGGCTATATAATCCTGTTCCAGAGCCTCAGCAACACATCGAAAATGTGCGAGAAGGAGACCTACTACTACTGTTTTTTGACCCCTAAACCAGCTTTTTGAGTTTGTGGCCCAAAAAAACAAGAATGCGGCTGTGAATTATCTAAAAACTTTCGAATTTCGTTTTGAGTGATTGTGTACCTCACTCGACGTAGAGTTGAACGCTGATGTGCTTCTTTTTTGGACTGGATTGTGCGACGGAAAATGCCCCTATCGGAAACTCGATCTTTTCTATGTTCTAGGAGGCCTTCCACAACAGTATCACGAAGAGCCTTTGACCACTAAATCTCAGCTTACGTTCAAAAGACGCTTAATCGTACGAAAGTTAAAACATTAGAAAATTAATCAAAATTAAAAACACAGCTTTTATAACTTGAAGAAGCACCGCGAGCATTCAGTCAGAAAAGTTCACTAAAACTGCAGTAAAGTGTAATTTCAGATTGATGAAGTTTGAACTGGAGTTCAGGAGTTGAGATTAGTATCGTCCGATTGTTGTTGTAGGTTATCCAATAAACTAAGAAAATATTCAGCAAATGGGGAAAGAAGCCCAGCTCGGCGAGAGGGAGAAAATGGAAAGCGGGAATGTTGATATTCGCTTTCTCTATATTTAGATAACTTGTTCACATAATTTCGGTTAACGTCTGACAGAATTCGCTTTTTATCTCAGGCAGGGGACCAAGCCTGGGCGAGTCAAGCTACTTTTCGAATCCAGTCGAGTTCGCGTCATTTCGCAGCGGTTTCGGGTCGAGTCAAGTTGAGTCATCAGTTTTTTCAATCTCTACACAAAGAGTTTGATTACATTAGAAATTTAGCTATCAAAAATGGTTATCCACTAACCTTTGTAGAATCAATCATTAGAAGTAAACTGGATAAAATGTATGATGTACAAATTCTAAAAGAAAATGTCTCTGACACTCCTGCAACTGAGAACATGATCTTCAGAATTCCGTATTTTGGTGCAAGCAGTCAGATCTATAAAAAAAGAATTGTAATGGCAGTAAGCAAACTCTATCCTAAAAAAACTGTCAGAATTATCTATGATGCTAAGACCAAAACTGGAACAGGTTTCAGTCCAAAAGATCCTATACCTATTCTATTAAAATCAGGACTCATTTATGAAGCTAAATGTTCCGAATTCCGGAGAAACTTACCTCGGGAAAACGTGTCGTCATTTAAAACACGTGTTGATGAACATCTGAAAGTTCAAGAGAAAATTATCTTAACTGATTGAGTGTAGGATGATCAAGGACGCCCATAAGCGTGACTAGATCCGGGCGTATTTTTGCGTAAAGATGTTTAATTAAATCATGCTCACTCTCGTTCGGTTTGTGCTCGTACCAGATTTCCCGTAAACGAACCAAAAATTGACTAATAGGCTCATCGGAACGTTGAACACAGCGATTCCATTTCTCTTCGCTTTGCGCAAGACGGAGGGGAGAAGTAAATCTAAGTCTCTCACACTTGGCGATCTCGTCTTCGAACCTTCCGTTCTCCTGCAAAACTCTTCTTCTGTTTTTTTCTTTCTATCTGTCTTCATATTGATTGTCTGGTAAGTCACATTGATTTTTATCATGACTGAATTCTCTAATTTATCCACCTCCGAAAGGTCCATCCAGGACCATCTTCGAACACTTTATGATAATCATCGGTCTCAGATTGTACTCACAGATTCTCGAATGCAGGAACAAAATGAAAAAATTGACCGTAAGAACCAGCATATCGAGAATCAAATTGAACTTCTTCAGCATGCAGTCCATGCATTACAGTTGAAAGTCGATGATACTTCCTTGGATACTCAGAACCGGTTAGAAACTGTTGCCCGAAACTTCGAGGATTATATTCGTGACCTGCGGTGTCCGATGCCTTCTAACCCGCACCCACGCGATCATTCTCCAGTCCTCGCTGCTTCTCCACCCCCTGCTCATTTACCGTCTACAAAACCGGAAAATCTTTCTACCTATCCCTCCTCAGCTCCTCCACTAAATCCGAATATCTCATCCGGTGACGTACCGCTACAAACGCGTCCGATACCTCAGACTATCATTATTCCGGCACCCACTACCATACCTCAATATGCTGGTAAACCTACTGAAAAACCTCTCCAGTTTTTACTTCGTCTTCAGCACTATGCTTCAAGCATGTACGGCTGGACTGATACCGCACTACTGCAGGGTATTTCTACCTTTTTACTGGATACCGCTTTAGACTGGTATACCCAACTATCCCTTACCAATAACCTTCCTACCACTTGGTCAGAGTTTCAACACCTATTCATCCAGCAATTTACTTCTCCCCTCCGTCTTGCGCAAAGCGAAGAGAAATGGAATCGCTGTGTTCAACGTTCCGATGAGCCTATTAGTCAATTTTTGGTTCGTTTACGGGAAATCTGGTACGAGCACAAACCGAACGAGAGTGAGCATGATTTAATTAAACATCTTTACGCAAAAATACGCCCGGATCTAGTCACGCTTATGGGCGTCCTTGATCATCCTACACTCAATCAGTTCATGGATAACGCTCGCTCTGCCGAAGTAATTATTTTTTCTCAACAACACCAACTTACTCTGACTCGGCCTGCTGTATCCGATACCTTTATCACTGTGCCCGCTTCTCTTCCGGCATCTGTAACTCGCCGTAGCACTGATGTTGTCTGCTATAATTGTAAAAAACCTGGTCATTACTCTTATCAGTGCCATACTCAGCCTCAGTCACTATATCCAAAAAACTGAAACGGGGTCCTTCTGGTAAGAGGTGGAACGTCCCCGCATTTTCCGTGAATCCTAAACCCTCCAAAGCTGCCTTGCATTCAACTGGCATTGTCCGCACGTCTCATTCCCATAGTCTTCTTCAAATTCCAAGTCAGCTTAATGACTATCATTCTGCTTTCACGATAGATACTGGATCTACATTAACACTAATCAGCGATATGGTCCTGAAACTTCTCGATCGTCATGCACTCAGTCTTCCTCAACGTGTTCCTTCCATCACTGTTCGACTCGCTAACGGGTCTCCCATCTCGTCTAAGGGTGCTTACATGGTTTTCCTCACTCTCAACGGCGCTACCTATCACCATTTAGTATATGTTATCCCTGGTTTGCAACATTTTTGTGTATTAGGTCTCGACTTTTTCCGCAAATATAAAATGGTCATAAATCCATCTCAAAA